CAGCAGCAGCAGCAGCAGCAGCAGCAGCAGCAGCAGCAGCAGCAGCAGCAGCAGCAGCAGCAGCAGCAGCAGCAGCAGCAGCAGCAGCAACAACTTGCTCTTTCGCAACAACCTCAGAACGGACCCGCAGCGCCACCCATGCAGCCGCAAAGATCGATGAATCCGAGTCCGATGCCTGGACAACCCCAACAACCTCCGGGTGCAAACGCTGATTATGGGGCCTTCATGGGCAACATGGAGAATATTGTGGCACAGCAACAGCAACAGGGAGTCATGGCCCAAGAGGCAGGGCAGATGGTGGTCCCCGCGAGCGCCCCTCCTCGAAACAGCACTCCACAGCCAGGCGCCGGACCAGGAATGGACCTGGTCCCTAACGCTCGCGTAGCCCAACAGCAGCAAATGTTCACTGCTCAGCAAATGCAACAGAGGTTGCAGCAACAGCAGCAGCAGCAGCAGCAGCAACAGCAGCAACAACAGCAGCAGCAACAACAACAGCAGCAGCAGCAACAGCAGCAACAATCACAAGCACGTTTGAACGCACAACAGAAGGCTCAGCAGTCCCTCGGACTTCGCGGGCAACCAGGAGGGATGGGGCCTAATCCCCAACAGAGTCCGGCCATGACGACGCTCAACGCACCGTTGCGCACACCTTCGCAGCAAATGAACCATCCCGAGCCTCCGCAAGGGAACCCGAACGCCCAGTTCGGGCAGCCCGTAGACCCGCGCTTCATGCAAGGAAACCAAAGGCCCGGTCCAGGGAACGGGATGAGTTTGGCGGGTCTCAATCCGGCAATGCTCCAAACTTTGGACCCAGACATGCAACAAAGGTTGGCTAACCTCGCGCCCGATAAACTCAACGACGTTGTAAACAAGTGGCATGAAGTCCGCGCCGGGCAGCTGAACGGGGGTGCGAACATGCCTGCTGGAAGACAGCAGATTCCAATGCCCGTAGCAAACCAAGCTCGGCCAGGTCAGCAAATGCCACCGGGAGGCCAATTCAGCGCTCCCAATGGTGCCAATCAGTTCATGATGGCGAACTCGGCACAGCGACCTCCTCCGTCCATGGCTGCTGGCATGAACCCCCAGCAACAGATGATCCTGCAACAACAGATGAACAGTCTACGGCAAAACCAGATGCAGCCTCAGCGCATGCCACCTAGTGCAGCGCAGATCGAGCAGAAGACGATAGCACAGATGGACAACGTGGACATACCGATCATCTTCCAGAGCCACGCAAATATGCCTCAGGGTAGCCCCCCGGAGATCAAGAAATGGGGTCAGCTGAAGCAATGGATTTCCCAAAATCCGAATCTCCCGCCGAATAGTCTCGATTCGGTGAAGACGTTACAGAGGATGCATTATGCGCAGGCAATGCGAAGTAGAGCACAGCAGCAAGGACAAGGAGGTGGCATGCCTCCGGGTCCCCCTCAAGGTCCGCAACGTGGGATCTCCACGGCCCCGATGGCCGCTCCAGTTGCACCCATGGGTCAGAATCCAATGCAGATGCCCAACGGCGTAAACTTGGCGGGTCTCGGGCAGCTGCGACAGCCTACCGCTCTTGAGATCGAGAACATGCGAGCCCATCCCAGTGGAAAGCTTGTCAACGCAAGCGAGGAGATCATCCGTAACATCTTTTTGCGGAACCAGGCTCAAAACCTTCAGGCGCAGGCGCAGGCGCAGGCGCAGGCTCAGCAGGGTCAGCAGGGTCAAGCACAGTTGACACCGCAACAGCAGCACCAGCGCCAGCAATTGATGGCGATGCAAATGAGTAAGATGCAACAGGCTAGCGGACAACAATCCCTTCCAAACGGACAACCAATCCCTAATCCCAATCAAATGGCAATGGTGCAACCAAAAACCGCGCCGCTCCAGCAGCCTCCGCAGCCTCCGCAGCCTCAGCAGCCTCCGCAGCCTCCGCAGCCTCCGCAGCCTCCGCAGCCTCCGCAGCCTCCGCAGCCTCCGCAGCCTCAGCAGCCTACGCAGCCTCCGCAGCCTCCGATTGCTCCTATGTCTGGCTCTCAGCCCGAGCCTGGCACCGCTGCAACAAATGCAGCCAGTAACCGGCCTCAAAATAATGCGCGGAATGTTGCCCAGAACTCGTCACCTGCACCGCTTCCTAAGAACTTGAAACGTGCTAGTAGCGACGATGTTGTCGAGGTTCCGAATCCGAATATCCAGCAGACACGCCCAGCTGCGCAAGATGCCGTGCAGACCTTGCAGGGTCGCCCGAGGCCGACCGCTCAGCAAACCGCTTCGATGGACCCCGAAACTCGTAAGAGATATGAGAACGCAATGCGTGCAGCCCATACGACTCAAGCGCAAGCAAACCAGGGCGTTAAGGCGCAATCCGACGCCCGATGGAAGATAATCGAGACCGAGGAGAGCCAAAAGCAGCGGGACCCTCCAGCGGATGTTCAGATGGATGAAGAGACAAAACAGAAAACATCGGCTCTACTACTCTCTCTTCGCTCTCACATGGTCAACGTCAACAAAGCTCTTCCCCGGATTTTCGGGCTCACTCGCGATGAAGCGCAGATGAGAAGATTTTTTGAGGCAGTAAGTAGTCACAGTAACATCCTTGACTCTTTGATCAGCGTGATTAACTCTTCTGTAGCGCTACCGGTACCAACGCCAATTCCGGGACGATAATATAACGACTGGACAGCCTACTTTGAAAGACGTCCTTTCTATAAGCCAGGCAGAGGCAATGCAAACGCAATCCATGATAGGAAGCATGATTATGCTTCTGAAAGAGAGGTTCCCCGGCATGGCGAAGGCGAACGGTAATGGAAAGACCCAGCAGCCACCATCTCAGCCCGAGCAACAAGTCCCGCCCCCTTTGAGTTCGGCCAACTTGCAGCAGCAGCAACAGCAGCTCAAAAACCAAATGCATCAGAAAAACAACAATCGGAACTCGAACCCCCCGGCCGCTCCTACCTCCTCACAGCCTCCATTTCAATTTGGCGCTACCTCGCCTCATGGGACACCTGCTTACGCCGGTAAAAATCCCCTCAAGCAAGAAGACCTGCACATTCCTGCCCGCAAGAAGCAAAAAACGAACAGCACTCCTGTACCTGGCCAAGGTACTCCTGGCCCCAACTCGTCACCTCAAGTAGCCAAGGCGGGCTCGCCCGATATGAGGAGGCAGCAGCAGCAGCAGCAGCAGCAGCAACAGCAACAGCAAGCGGAGTACAGACAGCCAAGCAAGCCTTCTCTCTGTTGCCCCGAGCCGGATTGCGATAGACACAATGTCGGCTTCGAGACACAAGAGGCCTTGATGGCACATAATCAGGAGGAACACGTCAGACCCTTGAACGATCCTCTGAAGTATGCTCAAGAGAATCTGGCAGCTGCCCTGGGACTTGACAGTCAAGGGAAAGCGAAGAAACAAGACAGCAATGCTGCTGCCGCCGGAACTGGATCCACGCCGGGAGGGGAGAGCATGGTTGCGAATGGCTCCAAACAAGGACAGCCCCAGATTATCAAGCGTGGAAACACACCAGCGGGGGCGACTCCAATGAACCGCCAAGTGTCCATGAACCGGCAAGCGAGCGCCCCTGGCGTCAAGTCTAACATGCAACCCAAGTCTGTTCCTGCAAAGGACGCCAAAGGTCAACCTATCCAGAGGGGTACGAACATACCAAAAGAAGAACAAGCTTCCCAGGAAGCTGCCACTGTAGATCCATGGGCCAATGCTACGATTGATCCCAACGAGCTGTTCCAGCACTTTCAAACCTTTGAGACCGGAGCAGGGGGTGCCATTTCCGACATGAACGTGTACCGCTCCATCACTCCCAACGACACGCCCGAGTCGAGCAAGGACGGTGTCTCAGAGCCCAGTGATGTCTCAGATGGTATGAACCTGGATATCAGTCTCGACATGTTCGATACCAACTGGCAGCCCTTCGGAATCAGCGACGCAGACTACCTCTTCGACTCGAGCGGCTTCAAAGTCAAGGTCGAAGAGGACTCGTTCATGTTTGACAGCGACGCTCCTGCGGTGGTATACCAATCTTGGGACGACATGGTTGAACCGGGGTTGCTCGACAAACCGTTCCAATTTGACACGTCGCTATTCTCCATGAACGCTGAATAGGCCAGGCACATCACGATTTTGATTTCCAAGTATCTCAGCACATGTAAAAACAAAGCGGGTGGGGGGGGGGGGGGGTGTTTTTTCTTGGCGCTATGGATAGGGGATGCATCTGCAATTTTGACGGGGTAATGGCGGGACGAACGAATAGTGGTGAGATACCAAAGGAAAAGCATGCATGGCGTTTAAGGCGTCATTTTTCCGGCTCACAGAACATGGGATTGATGGAATAGTCATTGATCTTATGAAAACCGGCGGTTTTTAGCCAAGGGTAGTTTGAGTGGGAGGGGGGGGGGCGGAATGTACCATTAGATGCCCGATGTTTCTCACGCGTCGTCCGTACAGTTGACGAAATCTACATGATATTTGCAACCCTGCCTTTTTTTTTTCACGGTCGCGGTGCGGTATTGATCTAATCGTTCGTTTGGGACTCGAGAGATGTAAGTATTTGTTTTGCGATGGAGATGTAAATTTACGGACGGACGGATTACTACTACGACTACTACTACGACTACTACTACTACTACTACTACTGCTACGACCACTATGATCTAGGTACCTACCTACCTACCCACCCACCTAATCTTGACAGAGCTTACTCCACCTACGTCTACAGGAGAGGAAGGGAAGGGGCCGGCCACCCTCCCACCCACTCAAATACCGTAGTACCGGTAGGTAGGTAAGGTACCTAGGTAGGTAGGTAGGTAGCTAAGCCGCGCGCGCCGAGAATCGCTACCTCTCTCTCTCTCTACGATACTTTTCCTCCGCTTTCTATTCTTATCTCCCGCGTTTCGGGATGCAGCGTGTCGGCTATTTTCCTTGTTGATTACTTACTTGATTTTATGGTATGCTATGCTATGCTATGGTATGCTAGGTATACTATACGATAGCAAAGACGGACGGACGGATAGGTAGGTAGGTAGACGGATAGGTAGATAGGTAGGTAGCTCGTAGGGCTAGGCTGGCTGGCTGGCTGGCTGGCTGGCTGGCTGGCTGGCAGGCAGGCAGGTGCACCTCGATACCGATACCGACACTTGTCTTGTCTTGTCTTGTCTTGTCTTGTCTTGTCTTGTCTTGTCTTGTCTTGTCTTGTCTTGTCTTATCTTGTCTGTCTGTCTGTCTGTCTGTCTGTTTATGGTTGTTATCGTTATCGTCGTCATTATCCCCGTGTTTCGTCGCATATTCATTATTTTCTTAACATGTATGTATTGGTATAGGTATTGGTATAGGTATAGATATAAGTAGGTATATGGATTCAGATACCCACCGGATTGGTATGGAAGGTAAGAGTTGCTGGATTGCAAGTGTGGCGTGGGTGGGCGGGAATGCTATCTTGATTAGCTATCGGTATATTGTGTTTTATGGAGTGGGGAGGGGGGAGAGGAGGGAGGAGGGAGGAGGGGGCGTTGCGACTCCCTTTTTTTACCCGGTTGGGAAGGACCTCGACGCGTGGGATTAGGTATCTAGGTACCTAGGTAGGTAATGCTGGCTGCACGAGTGAGTACCTAGTAGTACATGGCTGGTTTCAGGGGCGGAGGGCGGAGGGATCATTAGTAGGTACCTACCTAGCCTACTCTTATTCCGTATTTCGTATTTTCGTGGTTTCGTCTCATGTGAGTAGCAAGTAAGTAGCAAGTAAGGTAAGTAAGTGAGTAAGTGAGTCAGCAGATGATGGTGATTAGACCCCTTGGAGCTGCTCGGTATCATACA